TGATGAGACTATCAAAACACGTGCCATTTAAAACTATTTGTCATGCTGAAATGGGACTGGGATCACCCAAAAACCGTCTGATTAGTGCCAGTTTTGAGCAAAAAAATAACTTAGAAGTAGAAGGCCAATCTCATGATCCATCTTGTCCCACACAAGATCTGCCTAACTCATAATATAATCCTTAATATATAATAGTAGATGTCTGTCTCCAGTCTATCTTGATCTGTTCATAGGATTGCAGATTAGCTCTTTTTCACCCCCTAAATACTATTCAGGAATATTCCTATTCAGGATCAGAGGCTGGTTGTTGAACTTTGGCTTTATGAGCTTCTTGACATTTGATTAAGTTCAAATAAACTGCTCTCCTGAGGTGTTTACAGAAGTTATATGCTTTCCAAGTTATGCACTGTAGAGAGACACTGTTCAAAAAGTAATTGATAATTTATTATAAGAATCTTTAAAAGAACTTGGCCAGCTATCATTAGACAACTATATTGTGTTTCCGATCTATTCACTTTTTACTAAGCTTTCTGTTTTACTAATGGATCCCTAAAATTTTGCCTATTAAGATTTCAAAAAAGTATGCCAGTTATCTGATGTCTGGTAATTTGTTTCATAATCCAGCCCAACTCATCAAATAGTTTCTGCTGTATTCATAAATAATATTCATAAATATTATATAAGAAGATAAGATCAGCCATACTGGGTCAGACCAAAAGTCCATCTAGCCCCGTATCCTGTCTTCTGACAGTGGCCAGTGCCTCAGAGGGAATGAACAGAACAGGGAATCAAGTGATCGCTGCCCTGTCACCCATTCCCAGCTTCTAACAAACTGAAGCTAGGGACACCATTCTTACCCAGCGTGGCTAATAATCATTGAGGGAGCTATCCTCCGTGAATGTATCTAGTTCTTTTTTGAACCCTGTTAAAATCCTGATCTTCACAACTGTGACAAAGTGGGGATTGTATTTACTCTGTTCACTTGTTATGTTGCATGTGATTTCTGCTATCATGAACTGTTTTGTAGTAACTCTGTGTGTGTGTCTCAGTTGCCCTGGGCACTGCACTGGTGCCTGAATGGGGTTGGGAATTTTGGATGTGATGCTCACTGAGGGAGAAGCTCTCTTGTAACCTGAGCCAAGGTGGGGGGGTGCAACCAGATGACACCTTTTCCCCGGGAAGCTGCACAGAGGAGGAAGCGGGGCTGTCTGCAGGGCTGGAATTGGTTACTGTGTGTGTGAGGGAATCTTGGCTGGCTAAGGATACAGGGAAAAGGCCCTGGTTCTGCCCCCCCCCTATGAACTAATAAGCCTTCTGTTCTGCCTGCTGGCTGAGAGTCACATTGGGCTGTGGATAGTGGTGCAGGGTGACTCCCCACACCTTTGTGAAAACATCATATTCTGGCCAGGAATTTCACAGGCTGA